TATATATAATTCACATCTTTTCTGATATCTTAATCTTTCTAAATAAGAGTGTTGCGATTATACATAACTTGTGCAGATATATAATAATCAACAAGCAAAAAATCATCAGTTTATATATCTTTTTATCAATAGATATTTTTCTTCTTTAATTATTTTATTTTTATAATGAACGATTAATACAATAATATAATAATTAGCATTATTCATCTCTGTTTCGTAAGCGGGTGACGCCGGCGAGTATGATACTCGTAGGAGAGTATCCCCTGGATAAACTGGCACCGGTGTCGAATATACGTCAGACAATAAAATTTGACCTAAATACAATATGGATTGGTTTATCGCAATGTTTTTGTTTTTAATAGCTACATAAGAGGTTAATCAATATTTAAATATTGATAAATTTTTATTAAAAAATGATTTCAACTTCTTAACAATTTCAACATATATTTTCCATATAATATAAATAAATAATAAAATTAACATTATTGCTTCCTCATAGAGGAAGCTTTGTTTTTTTTCTTCTATCACGTATATTTTTTATTTTTTTATAATGATAGTTTAATGTTTAATTAAATTGCTTTGTTGAATTAAATCATTTTGAAGACATACTTATATTACAAATTACACGTTTACATGACAATAATAGAGCATTGAATAATTTAAGAAAATTCTATATAAAAGATATTTTAGAAAGTATTTTAAAGATTTCAATCGTTGATCTGTTGCAAGACTAACAATAGAATAAATATGACGATAAGATATTTGCATGAACCAACTAATTTTCAATATTTACATATGCTTTTTTTGCCCTAATATTTTTCCAAAAATTTTACAATTTCTTTATTATGTCTTTTAACGATACGTTTTCGGTTTTACTTTAATATTCTAAAAGCAAAATACGTAATATACAGACACATTATTATTATTATTTTGTAACATTATATTATTTTCGTTTTTATGATAATTTTGCAGAAACAGTGACAATCGTGCAAGTAATACACTCGCATTGCATAAAATTGCATGAAAGGGGAATTTTAATTGTGTTGCGATAAATGCGTCCTTCATAAAAATTCAAATTTCCACGAGTGCCACGAGACGCGTACAATTCAGTTATTATCTCATTCGGCGAAAGGATGCCAAATTGTACGCGTTTCACTGTCTGCAAAGGCGCCTTGGAGTCGGACATAGCCATTTTGCCACAATAATTCGTAGCAAATTTTCCGAGCTCCAGACGCCTTCTGTGTTCAGCATTCTGCGTCATTCTGCGTCGCGATTCTTCAACCCATAGACATAGTATATATAGATCGAGCGTTTATTTAAGGAGTGGGGGTAAAGATGCACGTAGAAAAGGACATACTCTATTTCGTGCTCCTTGCGTTCTCTCTCGCTCGCACATAGCATAGCGCTCTCTTTCGCCATTGTCTGCAAAGGCGCCTTGGAGTCGGACATAGCCATTTTGCCACAATAATTCGTAGCAAATTTTCCGAACTCCAGACGCCTTCTGTGTTCTGCATTCTGCGTCGCGATTCTTCAACCCATAGACATAGTATATATAGATCGAGCGTTTATTTAAGGAGTGGGGGTAAAGATGCACGTAGAAAAGGACATACTCTATTTCGTGCTCCTTGCGTTCTCTCTCGCTCGCACATAGCATAGCGCTCTCTTTCGCCATGCTACGTGTGAGCGAGAGAGAACGCAAGGGGCACAAAGCAGAGTGTGTTCTTTTCTACGTGCATCTTTACCCCCACTCCTCAACACTCGGTCTAGATATATTATGTCTATGCTTCAACCTCAACAACGTTTCCTGCCGTTGGAGAGAGAGAACGTCATTCCTCTCGATCATGAACTAAGTAACTCTTGATGGGACATCGCTCGACGAATCATACGTTAGGCTGATATTACATTCAAGCGACAAAATATTTCTCGAACATAGCGATTGGCTATCGAATAGAGAGTTTCTATCGAGATTCTAAAAAAGATTAATATAAGTAATTGTTCCATATTACATAAATTTAATATAAAAATAAAATAGTAAAAATTAAGGGCTCGAAAAATGACGAAACGTCACGATTGATATATTTCTTATCCTTTTTCGGAAGCAACAACATGGCATATCCAATCAGAATTTACTGCCTTGTTTAGCCTCGCAATTTTTTATTAAAAAATTATCTCATCCATCTTATCCGTTTATTTCTTACATATTCCACGACTGATACTGAATATCAGATGTCATAGTTCGCGAATTCGCGGAGTCGGTGGGTCGGCCATCTGTTTCAGTTGCAGCCGGAGCCACGTCATATTTGTGTGCCGCTTGGAAGCGAGCAACGCAAGCTGGCTTCCGTGTTTTCACGTTAGAATTACGTTCCCGCAACCGCAGACATGAATATATTCCGGCTGCTGGGCGATCTGTCGCACCTTTTAGCCATTATCATACTTCTCCTCAAGATATGGAAGTCGCGGAGTTGCGCCGGTGAGTCGCGGTGTCTCTCCTTTACGGAGACGCGGACGATTATGTCAAACGATGTGTTACAATTGTACGCCCGCGACTACTCGCTCAGCTGATGGTTATCATCGACGCTTGACCTTGTTCGCAGGTATCAGCGGCAAGTCCCAAATTCTCTTCTCGATTGTTTACACCACCCGTTATCTAGACCTGTTCACCACATTCATATCGGCGTACAACACATTCATGAAAGTCATTTTCATCGTCGCGTCCCTCGCCACGGTCTTCTTGATGTACATCAAGTTTAAAGCCACGTACGATCATAATCATGACACGTTCAGGTAAGTCAGTCTTTCGTTGATATCTAATTATCTTGTCTCCTATATACGTATGATATGTGACGCATGGTGACATATGATCCTTTCGTTGCAGGATCGAGTTCTTGGTTTTACCCGCGCTTGTACTGGCGCTATTGATCAATCATGAACTGTCTTTCGTGGAGGTTCTATGGACATTCAGCATTTATCTAGAATCAGTAGCGATATTACCGCAATTGTTTCTGGTTTCAAAAACAGGCGAGGCGGAGAGCATCACCAGTCATTATCTGTTCGCATTAGGATCTTACAGAGGCTTGTATCTATTCAACTGGGTATACCGTTACTACGCCGAGGATCATTACGATTTGATTGCCATAGTCGCAGGACTGGTGCAGACAGTTCTATATTGTGACTTTTTCTACCTCTATATTACCAAAGTACTAAAGGGCAAGAAATTACAACTACCTGCTTAGCTTCAGTTAAGAGTATTATCCTCTTGTATCGGAGAAAAGTTCGAATGCCCGTCTTCGGCATCATCGATCCGAGATAAATCCGGGCAATCCTGGGAGGCTCGTGGAACGCACACACAGTGTATGTTTCCACCAAGTGTGGAATATCTCGCAGCATCTTCCCTTCTATCGAACACTCTTCCTTCTCCCATCTACCATCCCTTTGTGCGATGCCGTTTGCTGTGTTTCCTTTCCAGGACGAGATCTAAGTTGCCTCTATTATTCTTTCGTACATTTCAAGCAACATATACATAATTGTAGAATCAAGATAACTGTTTATTTTATGAATTTAGGAATTTAACAAGATAATCGAGGATAAAAAATAAATTGTATAAAATCAGAATTTTCATTAATATTGACTGTTTATATTGTTGTGCAATTTTCAGTAATAAATATAGTTAATAATTAAATATATAATTATATTAATACACGATAATACACCATATATCTCTTACAAATTTTAATTGGAAAATTTGGGATTTTGCCATTTCGGTGAAGTAAATGTGTGATCGAATTCACAAAGCGTCTATATATTGCAGTCAGAAAGAAAAACGGAAGCAAACGCAAGCTAAGCGCAGTTACACAGAAATCGTTCTTCTATATTAACATGTTTTATTTTTAAGGCTCCTGATCGCTTAGTCTCAGGAACGTGCATATCACAAATGTGATAGCACAATACTCTAGTAACCATAAAACATAAATATTTTAAATTGTTATAGAACATATAAGTAATTAATAATATAATAATAATTATTTTTATTATTAATACAAAATAAAATATTGAATAGAAAATTTTAATGAGTAAATTAAAAGAAAATTGCCTTTTGAAAGTGCAAATTTAAAAAAAAAAAAAGTTGGTTAAATTAACTTTATTTTACATGAATAAATATTCGTTGCTAGATTGTATAAAAAAAATGAGAAAAAAGTGCCAGGGACCAGGGGCAAGAATTGAACCCTAGTCTTGTTTCTTTAAAATATCTTTTTATTTAAAAATGGCACGCAAGAATTCTCAGCGTGTCATTTCCTGCGAGAGATGACCATCTATCTAAAAATCTAAATAAAAGATATTTTGCCATAAAAGTTCCAGTTCCTTTGTTACAAAATAAAAAAAACAGATATATAATTTTTAGAAAATTTATTTCTTAGAAGAAATATGGTTTCTCTTTCTGTTTGTAATATTTGTAAAACATTTAGAAGAAAATATTATCTTGTGTAAATATGTTATTTCGGCGATTCAAGAAGAACGTAGAGTAATATACTTTACCAAATCAGAAATATGAACGGCTTCTTTAAGAGTCGTCGAACGATTCTTTACATGAACAATGCCATTCTTAAGACTAGTCTTATCCACTGACACGACGAACGGTATTAGGCACATTTCTATTATTTGTTCTGTATTAGTTAAAATAGTTGATATTCCCTTCGCCCTAAACATATTGTTTACATGTAGTACAAAGCGATTTAAGTCTATATCAGTTTCATTATCTTGTTCTTCTATGTAGAACGTAGTTTTATATGGAGATAACTTGGGATGAATACATGCGATAGCTGATTTGTCCAACATGTAACTATCGCAGAGTAACGCTAGACAGCCCCAATCCAAGGAAGTGACATGCTCGATCATATGCACGTCCGTAGCATTATCCTTACTACTTTCAGTCTGTAAATAAATATCTCATTTAAACATTTATTTTTTCTCTCCCTCACTTTTTCGCGACATCTCATTAAAGAAATACTATACTTGAGGATATAATTTGCGTATGCCTGGATAATAAGTAATCGTTTCTACAGTAATATTTCCAAAGGGAAATTGAGCCTCTATCTCCGTCACATCAAAATTTCTCGCTTTCTTTGCCTCGGCGAGTACAAATCTCGAGGGGCACTGGGAGAGCTTGCGCCACCAAACCTTGCGCTCTCGCTGCTTCTTATGCAGCAGACTCTTTGACTCAGACGCGTCGACGATCACGTTGATCTTGGCGATTCTATGGGACGATACTTTAGCCGGCAACAGAGACTCATTCCACGCGCTCTTCGACATCGTGGCGAGCGTGGCGAGCGCAAACGGCAGCGGCTTGTCCATCGAATTGCTCCGCAGGAGCTGCAACGTCTCGGCAATCGAGTCGCATGGGAACACATTGTGACGCGGCATCGTGACACAATGCGCGAACCAGTGCTCCTCGAGGTTCCTAAGCAACAGTTTGCCCTGAGGACCGTACGCGAAAACCCGCTCCGACAGATTGAGAAAGTGCGGGCTGACGGTCCTCAGTACAGCTTCCAGGCTCATCATCGTCCGGAGTCGGACTTGGTCGTCGCCAGGGGCGCGACGAAGTACTCCTCCTCCAGCACAGCGGCGTTCCTTAGTATCTCGCGCCGATCTACGTTGTTTTGCACCACGTCGTCCCGCAGACGAATACGATCGTTCTCCAGGGTGTTGTACATCGGACGCACCGTCTCGTCGATGCGCGCCGTTCGCAGCCGCTCGGTGAACGCTATCGCCTCCTCCAGGATCCGCTTACTCTGCTCGTACTCGAAGCCGACCAGCGCCAATCTTTCGAGCCTCCTGATGGTCGCCTCGTCGATCACCGGTCTCTTGTCACCGCGCGCTCGGTCGTTGATATTTTCCACCGGTTGTTGTTGTTTCGCTTGTACAGTTGAAGAGTGGTACGTCTTGGAAAACGCAATTGGATGCAGAGGAATTATGACACTTTTGTCAAAGAGTTTGCATACCTGTCGTAGCACGTGCATGCTTGATGATAATCAGCTGATCGGATTTGAATTTTTTGTTTAGTTCTACTTATCTTGTCACAGACGTTGAGAGAATTGATCTGTCTCTTTTGGCACTTTCTATATTCGTTATCTTTCGTCTTTCTGCCTTCTTTCAGATGAGACACGACTTATTAAACTTATTTCATTTTAGTGCACGGGGAAATGCAGTTGTAGTTCAACATCTTCGAATTGTCGGATTGTTCGATTGTCTATAGTTCATTACAAATTTTTATTTATTCTTTATGTCATTATTCGCCAAGCGAGTTTGATTGGCTACGATTTGGGGGACACCAAAAATACCCTGTCCGACATCCAATCAATGCGTCTGAAATTTGTCATATAGCAAACAACACTTTAGAAAGGGGTTCTCGTTGCCTCTGGTGAAACTACAATTGTTTATTATTTTAGCTATTATTATATTAATTCAAATTTTTATCATTATTGATAATGAGCGTACACACAAAATAATAAATAGATTTAGGAAGATGTCAGAAATTCACTATGGGATTCGTGTGGAATTTTCGAATCGAACACATCATGTCCAAAAATTCATACATCATGACTGTTGATTGAGAGACGAATCGGCAATTTTATAACGAATAGTTTGACAATTAAGATGACATTAAGATGAAATACAAAATTAACGGAACGTAAGATAATTTTTTTTCATCCTTACCACATCGCGAATTCTTTTCGGAACCAATAGTCACGATGCATAAATAATATCTAGACACGGTGTGTCCGATCAAAACCCGGAAGTGAAGGAATTTCTATATGTGTGTATTTCTGCATGTGTTGATCCACGCTGTCTATGCCATTCTGCACCAATCGGAGTCTCATTGTGCAGCACATTGTCGTGCCTCATCGCTCTCTCTCTCTCTCTTTTCCCCCCTTTTCCCTCTCCCTCTCACTTTTCCCTTCGAGATAACGATTAGACGCATACTTGAATAACATCGATCCCGATTTCTAGAACGAGGTCACCACGCAGGGGCAACGATCCGCGCGCGGAGCGAGCTCGATCACTATCCCGCGCGTACAACGTCCGCCCGTCTTGTTGTGTTTACGTGCGTGTGTACACACATAATATACGCGAGACAGTCGCGCGTTTGCATCATCGTGAACCGCGAAGTCAAGCGAGGATCATCCAAGGATCATTTGCCTCTCTTCGCGTTCTCGTCGCTGGTAAAGTCTACTCTAACAACGAGTCCGCGTCCCTTCGCGTGGACGCGTCCGCGCTACTTTCGTCGCCATCCTCTTCGCCGTTTTTCCCCTCGTCTATCTCCCTCGCTCTCGCTCTCGATCGAGAGATGACAAGTTACATCGTTCGTCCTCGCTGGCGGCGGTGCATCGTTTACGCAAACGTCCGCGTCGATGACGCAAAGTGAACTCGTCGCGCTTGCTACGAGAGCACTCGCCCCGGGAGGCGTCCCCGTTGACGGATTTAGGCCAGTCCAAACAATACAAAAAGATGGACGCGACGATAGAGAGAGAGTGCAGCGCGTTGGGCGGTTTGTTCCAACAGATCGTCACTGACATGAAGGTGAGGGGTTCCGCTTATTTGGCTCGACCGATTATACCGAGTTTCACGTTCCGTCAATATTTATATCGAAAATCTGCCTTATTCAGTCGGACTTCTTACATTATCCTACGATTTTTTCAATCTCCTTTTGTTTTTATTTTCTTTTTTATTTTTTAAGTATCTTTTTATATATTGTGTTATGTTTGTGGAACCTTCTCTATATGCGGTGAAGATCTTTATTTTGTTGGAGATTTTTTAATCATCCTCTCTCTTTAGTTTCACATTCCTCTCACATTAGCTCTTAAGTTTACATTACTGTTAGTTTACATTAGCTTTGTGTGCTATGGAAGATCCTTTATTTCTGGAAAAAATGACGTTTTTAATATTTAGAGTCAATTGACTTAACGATAAATTTAACATTACAGATATAGATATATTGATGTTGCAAAGTGGATATTATACTACATATGGATTATTTGAATAAAAGTAAATTAAGTACTTTTTAATAAGATTAAAAATGTAATAAATAATCTAGTCCTACAATTGAGTTTTTATTTTTTATATTTTTTTACAGCTTCTATAATTTTTTCTAGAAAAAACAAAAGCTTTAATTTTAAGCACATAAGCAAAAATTGTAACATATATTTTCACATTTTTTATATCTCATAACACTTATTTTTTAATAAAATAAAAACAAAAGCACTTGCTCCATTTTATATCGACGAGATATTTTATCACAACAGCATTAAAAAAATATGTTTCACAAACTAGTACTGTCTGATTGAGCAGAATATATGGGCGTATATGATAATATTATCTGTCACTAATACATCAGTTTAAATTATTCTTTGACTAATGCTGTATAAACTAACGTTGAAACAATGTCAATGTTGCATTAATAGATTCTTAAACTTTCAAATAAGATGTGTTATAACATTTTTTTTTTCTTTTTATAGAATGGAGCACCACTTTGGGAAGATTTGATTTCAAAAGCTACAAAATTACATGCAAGTTTGAGGTGAATACAGATTTATATATATTTCACTATTTATATATTTTCTATAATTTTCAAAAATGCATAGAAAATCTTTGGGTATTGAAGATTTTTTATAAATGACATTTTATTATAAATGTTTGCAATATTAGTGTAAAAAATATAATTCATTTATTTTATCTCTTTCTCTAATATATATTTTGTTGCATGTTTTTAATCAAATGAAAGTTTATATAAATAACACTATATATATAACTTATATGCTTTAATATGCTTTAATATATTATTGCAGAGCTGCTCTCTTGGCTATTTCTGCATATCTTGAGACTTTTCAGAAGATAGCAGATGCTGCGACTAATGCCAGGGGTAAGTTTTCACTGAATTGTAATAGAGATTATATTTTTTTATTATATAATTAAAGTCGTTTGCGTTAAATGAGCAAATTAAAATGAAGAAAAATTAAAATGGTACTGTCTCTGTTTTAAATAAGGTGCAACTAAGGAAATTGGAACAGCACTGACACGAATATGTCTAAGACATAAGGCGGTAGAAACTCGTATGAAGTCATTTACTAGGTATGTTGAAATGTCTCTTAACAATAATTTTTTATGCGTTCACAGAAATGTATTTGTTTTAGTTTTCTAGCATTACTTGTTACAGTACTCATATGTATTATTTCTTTTAAGCGCTATTATGGACTGCTTGGTGCTGCCTTTACAAGAGAAACTGGAAGATTGGAAAAAATCTTTGATCAATTTAGATAAAGAACATGCCAAAGGTTAACGATTATTACTAATATCGTAATAACTTATGTTTTTAAGAAATGTTTAATTTTTTTGTTACAATCTACACTTTTGCTATTTTTAGAATTCAAAAAAGCAAGGGCGGAGTTGAAGAAACGCTCCACCGATACTCTACGCCTGCAAAAGAAGAAAGCACGAAAGGGTCAAGTTTACCTACACATCCAGGGACAACCTCAAAGTCATGGGACATGTTCCAGTGATGTGGAGCTCAATAGGATGCTGGAATCGTCGGCGGCGGTTGTCCAGGAGAAAAGACTGAGTTTAGAAGAAACGGAACGAAAAGCCGTCCGTGCTGCCCTTCTCGAGGAGAGAGGCAGATTTTGTCTCCTTGCCCGATTCCTGAAACCTGTACTCGTTAGTAGACAGATACACGTGTATATTTATAAAATCGACAAATGTTGATGTACATATATATACATAAATGCATAATCAATAATTTAGGATGAGGAGATAGCGATGTTAATGGAATTGACGCATTTGCAAGAGGTGTCCGATCAATTACAAAGACATGCCGCATCGCCGCATCATTTACCGCCTGCATCCGAGCAGGTAATAACGGACATAAAAGGTTGCGACGTTACTCAATGGTCGTTGGCTACGCCGCCGTCGAGTCCGTCGCTATCTCTCGGATCGAGGAAGAGCTCTATGTGTTCGATCAGTTCTCTAACTAGTAGCAGTAGTGGATCTTGTAAAAGTCATCCAAGCCCGTCCGGACATCCATGGCACAGATCGCTCTCTCAGGTAATTACGCGTTGGTAATTAGTCCTCCTAGTATTTCTCTCTCCTCTTTTTTTTTCTCCATCTCATTATTCTGTGGATTGATTTATTAGGTTTTTTTTTTTTTACACATTGCATGATATAGTAACACTATTAATGCAATGCAGAGCTGCAATGCACCTAGTAGTATCTTCCACATAGATTTTACAGCACGAATCGATCGCTCTGTTTGCCCGCTGAGCGACAGCTTATTGTACGTGGTAGTCGATGTTGTACTCGTTATAGCCGGTCGGTGTCAGGCCCGCCAGCATCAGCGGTATCGCGACACTGCGCCATTTGACGAGTGGCAGTTCCCGCGATTCTGGCTTCACGTCTCAGGACACATTGTATAACCAACCGATTTCTGAAGATCAGGTAAGGTCGTTTAGCGATGTTGCGAAGTCTGTGATGTTTTACAATGGTCTTCTTATAAGCTATTGAACCGAAAATCAATTGTTTTCTTGACGAGTTTTTTAAAAGAACTGAAAATTCCGTTTTCTCGAAACAATTTATAATTAAATGTCAATTCGATAAACTAGAAAAAAAAAACATTGAGATTTCATCAAAGAACTGGTAGGAGACCCAACGTGTGAAATCTCACAAACTTCTGCCACTTAGTGATTAGTTTTTTTGCTGCTAGATCGGCTTGTGTCTTCCTTATAGCAGTTTTACGCAGATTCTTTAGCTTTAACTTTGAAGAACGCATTCGTATATCATATTTTGTTGCATCGTATATCGTCAGTAGTCACCTAAAGACACGTGCTTTTTAGGTGTCGAATGTGTCTTCTCTAAGTAATCAAAGTACCGGTTGTACTGTAACAAGACCCGTGACAACTTCAACTTGGCCTGATTTGCAGGAAACGTCCGTTCAATACAACCGGCAAAACCCGAATGCAGTAAACGAACGGCCACATACCATTTCCTCTGGTAAGCAGTATTGTGTGAAGCACATTGACGAGCATGAGTGCAATCTTGATTCGTCAATCACACTTATCTTTCTTTACCGATTCTAGCGTACGAAAAGGGTCATCAGAGACCCGCGCTCAGCGTCTACACATTCCAAGCGCCGGATCGTGACGGTAGCGGTTGCTGCCACAGCCAGCCCGCCTCTCCGGTTTCCTCTTCCTCGTCGTGTTCTTCCTCGAATCAGCAACTATCTAGGGTACAACTTCGTAGAAATAACGGCGGCACTCGTCCACCTATACCGAATAGATGTTCTAGTCTGGAACGACCGACAATTCCGGTGAAGAACGAACCGCCCGGAAGTCCACGGGGAAAACCCAAGTTACCTCTTCCAGCTCATTTGGCGAAAGGTTCGTATAACATTTCATATATTGCTACGTAAGTTATGTGATGTTAAGAGAGATCTAACAATCATATTATGATATAGAATTGGCAACTCATCAGCTCCAACAGCCGATGTACGTAAACATGCACGAGTTGGCGAATCTAGCTGCTAGTCGTGCTCAGGAAATGCAGCTTCCGTTGCCTCCTCCTCCGGCGTTGTTAACGACGCCAAGCACTGATAAGGTATTGAAACAAGAGCGACAAGAATAGATAAGATATTTTAAAACAAATGTTTTAAAAGAAAGAAGAAAATTTTCTTTACATTTATTCACATAACTCATTGCTCGGTCGAATTGTGTAGGCCGAAGCTCCGGAAAAAGATGCTGGTAGTCAAACGTCCGAGTCCAGCTTGGAGTCCAGCAGCGGATACGGAAGTCAAAATACTTTGCCGCATTCGCATTCGCTTCACAATCAAAACGAGAATACGTGGAATGTGCCAGGCATGGCTGCGACCATGTTAATGACACGCAGGGGATCGGCGCAGCAGGTGATCAGACCACCGCCGCCGACGAGACGCACATCCACCGTCATCATCGCTCCTCCCACGTCGTCCGTCAATGAGGATTGCAACGAAAATGTTTGCGACGAGGTGGAGAATCTTCCTCCACCACCTGCGTTTCTTCTAGAAGGCTCTTCGCCTACAGCCAGTCCTACGCCTCAAAGGTAGAAAAATCGATGTAACTCTATTCTTAGATAAATTTCTCTATTTGAAGGTGTTTAGTGTTATAATGATTTAAGTTAATTCTTTTTCACTTTTAACTGTAAATCGTAAAAATCAATTTTTTAAGAAAATCTTTGGATTCTTGAGACCGCTCTTTTTTAACCATCTGTTTTTTCTTTTAGATCCATCTCGGTTTCTGAAACGGTGAGGACTTTGACCGAGTTGCGTCATACCCCGGCCAGTCCGTCACTCTTACGGAAGGCTACTTTACAGCAACAAGTGCATAATAATCCTTCGAGCGTTGTCCAACATAACACCGTGCTGCAGATAACTCGTTCATCGGTTGAACGTTCCTGCTCTGTCCGTTCGACGTCTCAAGAACGCGGATCTGTCGGCGCTCAAACAACCGCTAGTGCAGCCGGTGGAGGTCCGACTCAGATCGTTCAGCACCCAAGGACAGGGACCCGGTGGCGTAGGTCAGGGTTTCATGGCGGTGCTCAACGCTAAGCTCATTGGTACGATGAGCGGCGGCAATGCCGCGGCAGGCGTGAACGTCAGCGGCAGCCCTAAATCTCTCAGGAAGCAGTCAATTACGGAACAGCAGCAGCAACAGCAGCAGTCCAACAAAAACGTCAAAACGACGGCTCCCGGTTTCCTTGAGACACTGAACGCTAAACTGGCTCAGCAACAACAGGCCCTGCAACAGGCGGGGAACAACGGGACGAGTAGATCAGCGAGTGTCAGGCGCATCATGGGCAATCGTGTGCCCATCATGGATCCGGTGCAAATGAGGGACTCCCTTATGGATCAGATCAGACGTGGCACTTCGCTGAGGAAAACCAGCGGCCCGATCAACGATCGTTCGGCACCCAAAATCTATTGAATAATCCAGCACTGCGTAAGTTTGTAACGTCGCGTTCCTTTACGAATTCCACGAGCAACGTTATTCTCTCTTTTGGATATAATTGACTCGCGAGATGCGATAGAAATCGCAATAAGTATCGGGCAGAAATCAATATCTTCCGATTCTTCGTCTATATTTTCGTGCATGATTTTCGAGTTACGTGCGCGGTACTATAACGGGATAATATAACAAAGCCGTCGTTACTTTTATCTTCATTTCCTCCGATAACACGCAGGCTCCATATTAAATCGATATATGATTTCTTGTACAATAACACGCGTATCGAAATATTGCGCGCAATTGAAGAATAATTTTAACGGATAGATTTTAATGGTGTTATATATACGATTATATTGTAGCATATAAAATACGAAAAGCAGCGTAGAAAGAGATTTTTATAATGTATCAATATTTATAAAAAAAGAATACTGATTTGATTAGGGAATTGTGTCTCACAAGATCCATATCGATACAACGACAATACTCCAGTACAACTTGTGTCTCATAGTTGTCTATTTTTTCTGCTTGAGAAGAACGATTCTCTCTTGTTGCTCCATTATCGCTTAGTCTGTAATTGGGTATGCAATTGGGATCTTTATGCGATCTCGCGAAAATCATACATAATTTAATATCGAGCTTGTGTATTCAAGACGCGAGACTCGTCAATACATATCGGTTTACAATATCTTTCTTTCTCTTACATGCCTTTTTTCACTTTTATATGAGAAGCGCGAGTTCATTTTGCTATAGATTTCATGCTTTCTCGATTCCATGAGGTTGCTGCGGCGTGTGTTTAATCGTCGAAATCGATGGCCGTTTCTCCAGTAGTGTACTCTTCGCCATCGAGATCTAATTCTCGGTTACGAGAGAGAAACGGTGGCATATATATTCATATTAATAATATACACTGTATGACATCTCTCTCTCTCTCTCAATGTCGATTAATGTTAATATGCATATGTGTCGCGCCTTCGCGAAGATGATTACACTCGTTGTCGCTTGCAAGCTACATTTTGACGACGAGAAAAATGTCTATTAATTCTGAGCAAACGCTCCGAAATGTTATCGAATATTACCATTATATCGTCAAGTTGTTAGAGAATCTTCTTTTTTATGTACACGTATATCTTTTTGCGTTACGTTACGTCGTCGTATTGTCGCCAATGTACACTGCCCGGGCGTGCAAATCGAAATCATACATTTATCACTCATCTAACGCGTGATATGCGGCGAATACCGATTATTACTGCCAATTACATTCATCTCCTTTCATTCCTCGCATAGTGTTAAGTTTTCAATGGTATTGTAGCGAACCGGCGCGATGAATAGTGTATAGCGAGCAATAGCATATATATATATATTATATACATATACATATATGTTTATTTATTTCAAGAAGCATTTAACTGTATACACAGCGTGAATAAATAATAATACTTCCAGAGAAAATCTATCAACACATATTTGATATTTAATAACATTCGTCCTTTTTGCGAGATTCGAAAACACGAATGAAGAGTGAAATTCGATTAAAATATCGTTTCGCTACAGTGGTAAAAATCAACTATCTTATCAGCATTAAATGTCAAATGGACAATATATCATCACGGGTTATAGTCTCATATTAAATAAAATATCGTATACATACACTGTAATGAAGCACTATTTAATTAATAATGTAGCAAGAACTCGATTCAAGTGATTGTTAATTTCTAATAATTACAATGCGATCAAATGTGGACAAACAAATAAAGATGCAACATATTCGTCCGAGACTTGAAATACTCTCACTTCTCTTGTGTGTGTATTCATTTCTTTATTTTTATCTTGAAATGTTCAAATCAGATCGAAATCGGCGAAATTGGGAATGAAACTAGAGGTACACAGAGTATAATATATTATAGATGTATTAAATTACCCAATTATTATGTCATTAATCGCTGTACTTTATTTACAGTTTATTTAACTCATTAATTATTTATAATTATGAATTACGATAATGACTTTCACTGTAAAAAACGCTGTATAAAAACGCTTTACTTTATCAGATACTCTTAATTTATCACTTATCATATATTCCACATCTTAACATGAAGTTTGTAATGTAGAGATATTCGTAAAAAATCCTGTGTAAAAAAAAATTGCCGTCGAATTATATACAAGATATCCTGGAATAAACGGATCAAATTATAATAAAAATTTTTTTTGGTCAACTCAAGTTCGCGTTGCATTCCTTTGAATTTTAATACAAATATGCGCGCATTATCAATTTTTATACGTCTTGAAATGATTAAATTCCTTTGTGATAATTTTGACTAGCACGCGATGCATTTAATGTTAATTTTGCTTGTAGATTCTCTTGGCGAAATACTGGCGAAAATCAGCCAGCCGTAGGAAGATTAAGAGATGTATTATTGTCTCGAGTAGCACACATTTTTCGAGCGTTTATTAACTCTTCCGGAAGACCACTGTATGATTGTAATCCATATATAGAAACTCGTTCATCTAAAACGATCACGCGACCGTGTAGACCACTCTGCAAACGTGCGAACTCACTGTCCTCAGAGTGCATCAACAATGCTAAACTTCCAGCTAAAATACAATTAGAATTGTTAATAATCGGACGATAATATTTTGATAATAACGGTGTACACAATACATACACATAATAATCTTAATAGTATAGTTTCATTCTTAATTGTATTATTTATTTACTCTTAATTACTTACGATTATCTAAAGGCGAACATGAACAATTGGGATTCAAGACAAATTCGATCGTCGTACGCAAGCGTTTAATCTCGTGCAGCGGTTGTATATCTAACAGAAGTCTCACTCTTCGTAATCGTCTAATCGCCGCTTTCACGACGCTACTAGCCGAGCAGTAAATCTTGTTGATGTTCGATGGCAATTCATCAGCGCATATGGGGCAAGATTCGTTCGAACCAAGAGGTGCTAAAATTAAAAAAAAAAAAACAACTATTTGGTTCGATATCTCATTTGCTATAAATCGATAACGAAAAAAATAGATTTTGAAATAAGATAATTTCCCAGAGTGAAGATATTTTAAAAAGTGAATTGAAAACAAGAATGAGTTGTAATATATCTACGAATCTTGGTTTCTTGGAGAACGCGAACCAAAATCACGGCTTTAGTTTTCAATCTTATCACCTCACATTTAATTAGTGCTTTAAATTTACGTACGCGACGTTTGCGATTGCGTGTTGCTCGAATCCGCGTCTATTTTCTTAGTGGATTGATTAGCCATATTCGACAACTGATCGCCGTCAAAACTGTTGATATCGGGCTTCACGGAAACCGGTACGGGCCCTTCGATACCATCAGGAGTCGCCAATTCGTGATCGACCACGACAAAGAGCGGGTTTCCATCGAAATTCGCCGGAAAGGGATCTTGGTTCTGTCCATTGAAAGACGAAAACGATGCTTCCATATCTTCGAGATCTACATTGGGCGGCCCGAGTCTGTCGAACACGGGATTCAGATTGATATCCGGTTCGTCCGGTGTTTGACCGCTTCCAATTTCCGCTCGCGGTACTATAAGACAGAATCGGGGGAATAATTTAACTAAAAAAAATTGTATTATCGTTCTCGTACATCCGGATACAAATTACCTATCTGCTCTACAGTTCCGTTTTGAACGTCCGGAATTTTGGCTGCTTTTTCAAATACCTCCTTTTCCGCGTTTTTTGCGGTATTCTTGTTCAATTGCTCCACCTCTACCGGCACCGGATTAGGAATTTCCGCTTCTTCGCTCGGAGTGGCACTGCTGCAAATCGGCGCGAAGCTGTAGCTCTGAGAAGAAGAATACAAAATTTTCGAACCTGCTATACATTTAACGATTATGAGGAACAATATACTTGTATATAAATTCTTACGGTAGATATCGTCAACTCCTGTTGGTAATAATCGTAAAGTTTCATATTTGCTGGCTCGAGTCGATCAACAAAATTTTCTCTAGTCACCATAAACGATATACAAGTTTTCTGATTGGTTAACTTGTCGAAGTAAATGGTAACGATGTCGCGATCCTCCTCGAAACGTTTCACTTCTGCGAACATTTGCGCATTGGTGATAAATCGATAAGTCGGTAATAAGTTTCATTTTAATGTAGTATAGTGTATCAATGATTGTGATACATGGTAATTGTACAATTGACTCTATAAATATTTTTTTGTGAAATATGATCGCGCATACGCATTATAAAATGAAATTGAAAGTGTTGACGACCTATTTAATATAAAGAGAGTTTTAGATTTAATGAGTCACTTTTTCTTAGATTCTTTGATCGGTTCGGAGTCAGCTTTCTCTTGGAAAAGATTGCGATGTTCAATTTATGATGTCACAATTATTTCGAGATCTTAATATATTTTCTTGCACTTACTTGTGGCCGGATCCTCCAAGAAAGAATGAAGACTTGTACGATCCGGGATGTATCCGCTTATCATACCGATCTCTAATACTGCCATGTTACTTTCCCCATCTGCCATTTTGTATCGTGTGCAGATTGTAATTGTTTGCAGCGAGCATTCGTCTACCCACATTGCGGAACCGGTAAGGACCGAAAGATCAAAAGCTTCGGAGCCGGTCGCATGCGCAACGTTGTACTTTATATTGCTCTAAAACGGGATTTAACATTGTTACTAATATCAATTGTATTTTTAAGAGACTATTTCTTCCTAGTTTATAGAAGTTTTCGATTTAATGTGTGACAAACACTTGATCCATAGTAAAAATGTAAAACTATACCTGTACTAAGACACAGCCTTCACCCTCAGCGAAAATCTCGACTATCGTGGGTATCACGGGCAGCCGAAGTTGCGTGAGAACCATACGATTATCGTTGTGCATTCTGTACAATTGGTCTACTTCATTGCCGGTCACCAGCACCGAGAGATCGGTGTTATCGTTTGACATCGCGGCGGCATACTTTGTAAGCGCCTCCAGGCCGAGTACGGTGTCCTGCGTAGACGTGAAACCGCCCTCTGCGTTTCGTTGCTTCGACATCCAACGGACTGCTTTCAGTGCCTCGACCATATTCGTCTCGCCGCCTAATTTTACCAAGGATAGCACGGCGTACGCCGTCATTTCAATGCTCAATCCTAGCGAGGGTTTATCTTCCCACCAAAGGAGATCCTAACAAAGCGAGATTTCATTGCGATTACGTGATTCGAACTTTATGTAGAACCGTTTCCTGTAAAGTTAATTTTCATACATTGTTCCGCGTCGCACGTTCTATCAATAGTTTCATGCTGTCATTTGCTTTTGGATGCTCCAACAACGTCAAAGCATAGGTGGATATAGCTGTTGTGTACATCGTATTGCCGCCGTTCTCCACTCCTTTCTCAAGACAATGTAGCACATTGGTGATAAACGTGGTTGCTAACGGTACTCCCGATTCCAAGAGAGAAATTAGTATGTACGCCGTTAACGCGGAGGAAGAACTGTCATCGTCTTGCAAACCGCCCTGAGAATGCATTTAAGAGCTTACAAGTGTTCTTTAAATAAAAAAAGATCGAATGTTGCATCATACCTTCATATCTTTGTGAAATACCCTGCCAATCACAGGGAAGCATCCATTTTCCAATTGCTTCTTCAGCATCCACTTTACGGAAATTTTAAGATCTCGCTCGTCGATGTGAATTATACTCTTTGCCTGAGCGAAGGATTTTATCACGAACGCGGTGAGCCAAATTGAGCTACCGTCTTCTGTGACGTTTGGCCCGAACGCTGAATACGAACCATCAGGGTGTCTGTATATCAACTCGCGCTGGTATCCTGTATTGCGAAAATCAAAACTTATTCAATATATAATCACGTGCATTTTATGAAATAAAAATCGAGCGAATTGTACCTTTTTCCATATTCTTGACTGCTTTTGCTCTCAGCTCTGGATTCTCGACCCCGGTTGTATCCAAATAGCCGATTACATGTATGTTGGGAACAAAGAGGATCATGTTTTGCTCACCGCAGCCCATCGGCAGACGAACGAGATTGTCCAGATTCTCCAGGGCTGGACCCAAGATATCTCCTATTATAGACACGTATCCTCTTGCGCTTTCGGGCACCAAATCATCGGGTAAATCGAGATTCCAAGTAATGGTGGAATCGTCGCTAAAATCTTTCGGACAGATGAACGCTGATTTGGTCATCTCTACGGGAAAGCCTTCCGGTAACACAAGTATAGGCTTTACAATCACGTCCCTAAAAAATGTACAATTGCTAAATATTAGATGTATGATGATTTAACTGGTCAATAACTATGTTGACCAAAATCATGTATTTCTCCCTTGTTTCAATAAAATATTAGAAATATTTTTAATATTTAAATAATTCAAAGTTCCTTCATCAAATTTACATTCTTGTATTTGAATAAAATATTAGAGATTACATAAATACTTTTCTTATACATTTGCAACCTTTTCTCATTCG